TAGGTCATGGTATTTGCAATCGCTTGTTATGCATCAGAGAGTTGGACAATGACTAGGGAGGACAGAAGGAGAGTGGATGCTTTTGAGCTGTGGTGCACATGGATAGGAAGACTCAATATTGTGAAAATGGCAATATTACCAAGGCAATTTACATGTTCAATGCAATCCCAATACAAATACCAATCCCATTCTTCAATGAAATGGAAAAGGTAATCTCCAGTTCCATTTGGAATAGAAAAAAGCCCCTAATAAGCAAAGCACTCCTTAAAAATAGAAAAAAGGTAGGAAGCATCTCACTCCGTGATTTCAAATCCTACTACACTGCTGTGGTGGTTAAGATAGTATGGTACTGGTACAATGACAGACACATAGAGCAATGGAATAGTATTGACAACCTGGGAATCAGCCAATCTACCTATGGTCAACTGATTTTTGACAAGGAGATGAAATCAGTTAAGTGGAGAAACGAAAGCCTTTTTAATAAATAGTGCTGGCAAAATTGGAAAAATATCTACATAAGATTAAAGCAAGATCCACATTTCACTCCATATACAAAAATTAATTCAATGGGGATCATGGACCTAGGACTAAAACCAAGGACTATAAACTTCATTCAAGAAAAGCTTGGAAGAACTCTAGAAGTCCTAATCCACAACATAAACAGTCTTCCAAGTATCCTGAAAAATCTACAACCAGGAGAAGATAAAATAGATGAATGGGACCTTCTAAGAATCAAATCCTTATGCACATTCAAAAACTTCTCCAACAGGGTAAAAAGGGAAGCCATAGAATGGGAAAAAGTGAAGAGAAAACGATGTGACCAAGACAAAGGTGGGTGACTTTTAGTTCGCGGCCCTCAGGCCAGTCTTTCATTGTTTTTGTTCCCACATTCCTTTAGGTCATATAGCCCTGGTGTACAAGTTGCCGTACCACGGTCAGTTGTGGTTGCTGTGAGGCTGAACACTGTAACACAGGATGCGTCAAATGTGTTAATGGTTGGCTACCCAATGCGGACTGAGAGTGGGGTGGAGCTCCCTGACTGAACCAGTGTGGAAGGAGGAGTGGCGTCCACTTCCATAATAGTTTGCCTCCGGAAACCCTATGAACTTGGAGAGAGGATGAAAGGCACCCAAGCGTCAAGGACTCTCCTTCATAGGGTCGCTATGAGTCGCCTGCGACTCGAAGGCACTTAAGAACAACAACAACAACAACAATGACATGTCAGATAAGAGACATATCTAGAATTTATAAAATACTTGCATAGCACAACAAGTTAAAGGTAAATAATCCAATTGAAAAATAGGCACAGGATATGAACAGACATTTCACCAAAGAAGACATTCAGATGGCCAACAAGCACATGAAGAAATGTTCAAAATCCCTAGCTCTAAAAGAGCTGCAAATCAAGACAACTATGAGATATCATCTCACCGCAGTAAGACAAGCAAAATTTAACAGAACAGCAAGCAACAAATGCTGGCAAGGTTGTGGAGAGACTAGAACCCTTATTCCCTGTTGGTGGGAGTGTAAAATGGTGCAACCACTGTGGAAGGCGGTATGGCGCTTTCTCAAAAAGTTGCAAATAGAGATACCATTTGACCCAGCAATTCCACTACTGGGAATATACGCCAAAGAGACCATAACTGCCATCCAAGCAGATATATGCACACCCAGGTTTATTGTAGCCTTGTTTACAATAGCAAGGAGTTGGAGTTGGAAACTACCTAAGTGCTCATCAACAAACGAATGGATAGAGCAGCTCTGGTATATTCACACAATGGAATACTATGCTGCATTGGAAAACAAGGAACTCATGCAATATTATTCAAAATGGGTGACCCTGGAGAACATTATGATGAGTGAAGTATCTGTCACAAAAAGACAAATACTGTATATTGCCACTGTTGTAGAATGGAACTGACATCAGGATTTGGGTAAGACTGAGAAAAACTTGATAAATTATGTATATTTCATTGAAATAGATGAGGGAGAGAACAGTTTAAAAGCAATATATGGTAGGGTATTATGGTTATCACAAGAGTCCAGAATGAAGGTTGCATAGTGGAGTGTACTCAGGGCAGGGGGATTGTATACCAATGAACGAGTTTTTCTTTTACTTTTCAAAGAGAAGAGCGAACTGTGGGGGAGGGGTGGGCAGGGAGAAAAGTGTAAAAATTAATGAGTGGAAATCTTAAATCTCGGTAAATGTTTATTGAAATGAATAAAATTTAAAAAAAAAAGGAAGAACTTCATCTGGGAAGTTTTTTTTTCATTTTAGCAAACTAATAAGAACCATACTTTCAAGACTTTATCATGTAGAGAAAGGCTCAATCTTTCACCAATTTACTCTTCAAATGTTTCTCCAGTGAGAACAATACGTGTAGGTATGTAAATTAAAAAAAAAATTATAGAAAATCAGAATAGTCTGATACATTTAAAAGTCTTTTCTTAAAATGGTAGTTTCTAAAAATATTTTGAATTCTTTTAATAATGTATTATTTCCTTGTGTGAGAAATTACAACAGTTTCCCCACTGTCATCTTTCATCATTATTTTTTTTTTACTATTTGTAAAAATTTCTAGGTAGGTTAAAAAGAAGTGTGTTATTTTTTTCAAATAAGTGTAATTCTTATAGTTACTAAATAGGGGAAAATTCTGAACTCACTCTAGCTATCATTCCTCTTAAATTTTCTCTGATTTGGTTTCTCTCCATTTTGAGAGACTTTTCCATTCTCTTTAGCTCATCTCTCTCCTTAGCTACAATTCTTATTTCTTCAAGATTGTCATCAAGTTTCTTGATCAAATGCAAGTTTTCCATTTCCAAACTTCGCATAGATATAGCCTGCACCTCAAATTGCTGCTTCAATGGTTCCACTGTATTCAATTTTTTCTGAGTCTTACTGACATCTTCATTCAATTTAAGAAGCTGAAGCTCTTTTTTCTGAAGTGCTTGGATCTTGAGATAATTAGCAAACAGTTTAGAATGTACACACAATTCCTTAAAGGAAGGAAAATAATGTTTGTTACATATATGTACATATGTCTATATCTACATATCTCTATGTCTTTTCTCATTCTGCAAATAATTTTGGATACAAGTTCTACCTAAAAGAAACCAAATCAATACATACCTTTTCTTGCAATTCACCTATTGATTGGTCTATGTCCTTTTGAACATTTGAAATTTGAGCTGTCTTTTCTGAAACTTTCTCTTTGAGTTTATCAATTATGTCCTGGTGTTCTTTTAAATACATGCGAGCAATTTTCAGTTCCTGCTGCATTTCCAAATCCTTTATTATTATAAGAAATTGAGAAATGTGATATGATCATAAATGTAAAAAAAATTTAAATAGTTAAAACAAAAACCAAGACAAGTAAAAAAATATTAAGAGTTAAAATCACAACAAAAAGCCAAACCAAGTAACCAAAATTACAAAAGTATGGAAAACTATAAAGCGAAAATTCCTATTCCATCCTTCTCCCTTCGTATCCTGAGACATGATTTTGCCACTTGCTTTTCTCCCATCAATCTACTTGGACATATAACATAAAGATAACCCTACTCTTATGATTAGCATTTAGTTATACATATGAACCTGGCTTAGCTGGTATTATTGTTAAATTTCTTATAACATTTGGTAACCACCAATACCTCAATGAACATTGTTGCAATTCCCCCAAAAGAGTGAGTACATTATATTGGTAGAATAAATTATTAGAAGTGAATTGCTGAGCAATTGCATTATACTGACACATTTTAATGAAGATGTTGTCAAATTCTCTCAATAAGTTAATAGTATTTACATTCTCAGTAAAAGAATGTAAAAAGAAAAGAAAAAACCTGAATATAAAAAATCCCACAAAAACGTCATTGGACAGAGAAAGACTCACTCTAGCCTTGGCTTCTCTCAGGTTCTCATTGAGCTGGTCTCTCTCCAGTTTGAGAGCTTCTTCAGATCTCTTTAGATCGTCTCTTTCTTTCATTACGGATTTCTTTTCTTCAATGTTTTCATAAAGCTTCTGAGCCAAATTTAAATTCTCCATTTCTATTTTATCCAGAGTTAAATCCTGGGCCTTTAACTGTTTCTTCAATCGTTCTATTTCAGATAATTTTTTCTGAGTTTCACTGATCTCATCTTTTAACTTAAGAAGTTGGTCTTCATTTGCCTTAAGTTCTTGGACCTTAAGATAATTATAAAAATAAGATGTAAGGATACAGAAGGTTTTTAAGGAAAGAAAAAAAATAGTTTTTAAATCATTAATAGTTTTCTGATATCATGCTTAAAAGTAGTGAACATAATTCTGCAAAAGATTTATTTTCTTGTTACGTATATAGAAATATCAGAAATCTTAACATAGTTCAATTCTTCTTGATATACAGATATATCTTGTTGTATGCTGCTGAGTTGGAACCAACTCACAGCTGGCCCTCCAGTAGGTTTTCAGAGGTTACAAATCTTATGAGAGGAGACTGTCTATTTTTCCTTCTGCAGAGCAGTTAGTAGATTTGAACTGAACGCTACTTGGTTTGCAGTGTAACTCCTTACCACTGGGCCAACAAAGTACCCTCACTCACACACAATCTATGTAAGCACAACTTAGATTAATATATAGAACATTTCTAAGATCTCTTGAGATCAGGTGTGCCTCTTCTTAGTCTAACCTCTGTCAGCAGGTAACCACTTTTCTGACCTTTTTCATCCTGAACCTGTTTTTCCTGTTGTTTTTTTAATGACTTTTTAAAAAAAAATATTAATTTACAAAATTTTAATACATTGATTTTTGAGAACAGATTCTTCAATTCTTCTAACAAATTAACAACCCCATGATTAATCCCCTCCTTCCCCTGCACATCCTCATCCTTCTGCTTCCACCCTCCTCCTCTCTCCTTGGATCCTCATACTCATTCTAAAATAATAGTTTTATAGAATATTTGTCCTTGTGGGACTGGGTTACTGGAGAGCATTATGCTGAGTGAATTAACTCAGTCCTACAAAGACAAATATTGTATAAACCATTATTTTGCCTGCTTTTGAACTTTACAAAAAATGGTATCATATATAGTCTTGTCTTTCACCCAGAATGTTGTTGTTGATTGCTGTTGAGTTGACCTATGAACAAAAGGCTTGAAGCTTTTCTATAACTATTGACATTTATCAAAGTTCATAGAGTTTCCAGAAGCATGTTCTTTAGGAAGTGGATACCACTTCTGCTTCCAAAATAGTACCTGTAAAATTTATCCATGTTGTATATTTCAGTAGATTGTCCTCTTGTTAAAAAAAATGACTACTTATAATTAGTTTGTAAAAATATAAAAATATATACCTATTGATAAACATTTGGACTAGATGTAGTTTTTTGTTATTAATAAGCACTTGGGCTAGTTTTAGTTTTTTGCTATTATGAATACAGCAATTACACACATTTTTGCATATGCCTTTTGAGGAATTTTATACTCATCTCTCTTAGGTACATCCTCAACTAATGGGATTGTCGAGCTATAAGGAAGGTATTGCCTAGTGGTTGGAGCTGTGCTGCAGTCCTGAAGGCGCACAATTCAAATCCACCATGGCTCCACAGGACAAAGATTGAGCAATCGCCTCCTGTGTGATTAAACTGCCTCTGAAAACCTACTTGAGGGTCAGCTATGGCCCGGTTTCGACTTGAAGGCACACAACAATGTTTAACTTCAGTAAAAACTGCTAAGTAAGTTTTACGAAGTGACTGAATAATTATATATTACCAAAGGACTCTGTTGTTGTTAGGTACTGTCATATGACTCTTAGTGACCCAATGAATAACAGCTCTTAATCCTGTCCTATTCTATGCCATAATCTCTGACATACTCGAGTCCACTGCCACAGTCCATTCAGTTAGAATCTTCCTCTGTTTGGCTGATCTCCCGCCTTTCTACACATGATGTCCCTTTCTAAGAACAGCCTCTTCTAGCAACAAAGTATGTGAGACAAAGCTTCACCATCCTTGCCTTCAAGAAGTATTCTGGCTGCACTTTTTCCAAGACACATCTGTTTGTTCTTCTGATATTCCACAGAATATTCAGTACTTTTCTCCAACACCACAACTCAAAAGCATCAATTTTTTTCTTCTGTCATCTTTATTTATTCTCCATCTCTCTTACAGAGGAATAGCAGGTGACTTAAAAGCCCAGGGCTCGACTTAGACACCCTTTCTCTTTAAACTGACATAATTGCTCTTCAGGACTTTGGAAACATCCCTGAGCATAGGCTTTCCCAATCCTATATTTCTTGATCTATTGACCACTGGTAACCAAGGGTGCTGACTGTGGATCCAAATATGAGAAATCTGACAATTTCAGTATCTTCTCCATCTATCATAATGTTGCCTACTGGCCCAGCAGTGAGGCTTTTTGTTTTCTTGATGTTGAGATTTAATCCACATTGAAGGCTGTAGTCCTTAATCTTCCACAGCAAGTGTTTCATATCATCTTGACTTTCGGTAAGCAAGGCTGTGTCATCGGTGCAAAGCAGGTTGTTGGATGAGTCTTTCTCTAAGCCTGATTCTACGTTTGTCTTCATGAAGTCCAACTTCTTGAATGATTTTCTCAGCATATAGATTGAATAGGTATGGGATAAGAATTCATCCCTGACACACACCTTTTTTAATTTTAAACCATGCAGTGTTTCCTTGCTATGTTCAGACAACAGCTTCCTGGTCTTGGGCATAGTCAAAAAGCCTTATACCTGGTCAATAAAACACAGACATTCTTCTACTATTTTCTGTTTTCAGCCAAGATGTGTCTAACATTAACAATGATGCTTTGTGCCACAGCCTCTTCTAAACCCAGCCTCAGTTTTCTGTTAATGTACTGTTCTAGTTGTTTTTGGACGGTCTTGAACAATATTTTGCTTGCATATCGGATTGAAGATATTTTTCTATAATTTCCACATTCTATTGGATCAGCTTTCTTAGGGATGGAAACAAATAACAATCTCTTCTAGTCAGTCTGCCGGGCAGTTGTCTTTCAAATTTCCTGGAATAGACAGGTGAGCACATCCAGAGCTGTATATATTAAGTGAAACATTTTAGTTGGTATCGCATTGCTTCCTGAGGCCTTCTATTTTGTCAATGCCTTCAATGCAGTTTGAACTACTTCCCTCATCACCACTGGCTCACTCACCCAAATAAAGCCTTACTTTGGGCATGTTGCTAGGAGAGGTTATTCCCTGGAGAGGGACATAAGGCTTAGGAAAGTGGAGGGATGGTGAAGAGGAGGAAAATCCTCAACCAGGTAGATTGACACAGTGACTACAGCAATGGGCTTCAGTGTGTCAGAGATTGGGAGGATGGTATAGGTATGATGGGTTCAGATCTGTTATTCTTAGGTTAGCTATGAGTCATACTTGACTTGATGGAATCTAAAAACAATAACTCAACATACCTTTCCTTGTAATTGAGCATGTAAATTTTCAAAATCTACCTGGATATTTGACATTTCATCTGCCTTTTCAGAAACAATCTATCAATATTTTTGTTTCTCTTTCAAATATTGCCCTGCATAGAACTATTATCTATGTTTTTTTCATCTTAATGCTAATTAGCAGTATTTCTATTGAATTTTACACATTTCAGTTTGTAAAAATAATTAAACTTTTATTTCTTACACTACATCTTTTGTTATTGCTGGGAAGTCCTATTAGTTTTTCTTCCCATAATCTTTTTTTTTTCACATGTCTATTTTTAAAAAAAAAAATTCATTCACTGTTGCACATTTTCCTCTCTCCCCTTTCCTCACTTTGCAATGTACCTCTTGTCCTAGATTGTTGTCATACAAATAATGCTTAATCATATATTCCTTTCAGACAGTTCTCCTCATCTGCTCCAATGCAGTGTTCATTATCTATCTAATTTTTTCCTATTTTTCCCACAATATCCCGTCTCAGTCCTATTTTATAACAGTGGTGTTATGCAGTATTTGTTCTTCTGTGGCTGACAGTTCACTCAGCATCATGTCTTCCAGGCTCACCAATGTTGTGTAATGTTTGAGGAGTTCATTGTTTCTCAATGTTGTGTAATATTCCATAGTGTGGACAAGTAGTGTTTCCTTCCAACATTCTAACCACAATTTCCAGCACTAAACACATTCTACACATACTATTCTATGACTTGCCTTTTCCTGCTAAAGTTACTTTGGGCTTCCAAGTTAGAGCACTCAACTTTTTTTTTTTAAAAAAAATAGGTTATACAGTACATGACATATACACATTTATCAAGTCTTTTTAAGATGGACAATTATTTCTAATTTTTTATTGTGAACCACTGTAATAAATAACCTTGTTGACATGTACATTTTTCTGTTTCTTAACAACTGTGTCACAATATATGCAGCCTAAAACCCAAAGGTATTCAAAAATCAAAAAGGTATTCAACAATTCACTTTGTTAAAAGATTAGTTCGTTCACTCTTTCACCAACAATATTATACCATTTTATGAAATGTGAATTTTTTAAATTGGCATTTTAGTGAAAGTTTATAAAAATGAAGCATTTTCATTCATTGACACACATTTTCCTCACTCTCCAAAGTGTGAATTCTTGTAAAAAATTAAAAAATACTCAAATCATTTATTAGTTAGCAGGAGGAAGGGTACTTACTTTTATTTTAGTTTCTTGGAGGCTCTCCCTGAGCTGGTCCTGTTCCATCCTGAGGGCTTTCTCCACATTTCTTAGGTCATCTCGTTCCTTAGTTACCAAACTCATATCTTCAAGGGTTTTATGAAGACTCTGAGACAATTTAAACTTCTCCATTTCTATACTTTCGATAATTGAATTCTGGGTCTCTGATTGCTTCTTCAGTTGTTCTATTTGGTACATATTTTCTGTAAGATCATTTTTTATCTTTAGAAGCTGATGTTCCTTCTCTTGAAGTTCTTGGATCTTGAGGTAATCAAATGATAAATTAAGATATTGATAGATATAAATAAAATCTAAATAATAGTTTCTAAGTTAAGTAGGCAGATATCTATTTGCTTTTAATTTTAGGTTAGTTTATATTTTGTTACTTATACAAAAGACTTGATTGAAACTCTTGGTTACTCAGATAACAATGCAAAAAAGGGAAAATACCTGTGCTTTTAAGGTAGTATTTGAGTCATTCAAATCCATTTGCATATTTGAGATTTCATCTGTCTTCTCTGAAATAATCTGTTTGAGTTGATCAATAGTTTCTTGATGCTCTTTCAGATGTATGTGAGCAATTTTCAGTTCCTCTTCTTTTTCTAGATCCTGTATTATTAGTGAAATTTCAAGAAAACAGACAAATCAAATGTACCAGTCATTTCCTTTGGTATGTTAAAATGTTGACAAGGTTTTACAGAGATTACAAAGATATTACATTTAGGAGAATATAATTCTAATGGTATAGAAAGATAAAGGGTTAGCTGTAAAATTTCTCCTCTCCTTCCAGGCCCTTTATTCTCTACTTTGTAAATCACTTCCAATTATAAAGAAATTGTATTACTCCACCTTATTTTTCTTTTTTAAATGTGGTGGAAAATTCATATTAAAAATATGAATTTCCAACATTTATTTAAACCCCCCCCCCCCAAGCCCCACTGTAATCAAATGAATTTCAACCTTAATATCAGAGTAGAACTACTCTGTAGAATTTCCAAGACTAAAACCTTTTATGGAAGTAGAATGTCACATTTACTTCCCATGGAGCAGATGAGGGGTTGATATAATGGCCATTTAGTTAGCAGCTAGGTGTTTCAACCACTGTTTTACCATGTTCTTCTTTACTTTCCCACTGGAATGAACAGATAGCTGACCTTCCAGTGGGTTTTCATAGGCAGTAAGTCATACGGGAGGAGACTGCTAATCTTCCCCTTGTGGATCAGCTGGTAGATTTGAACTGCCTCCCTTTGCATTGGTAGTGAAATTCTTCATGATTAAGCCACCAGAGCTCCTTTTTATTTATCCATCCAATATTAATGAAAGTTAGAATTTTCTACATTATTCATTTCGTCATTGCAACTTGTTCAATCTATATCTTTGCACTAGGGGTTGGTGTGCTGGAATTAGTGAGAATGGCTCAGGAGAAAGCAGGGTTCTAGGGTTGCTAGCAGCTTGATGGAACATAACAACAAGGTCAATAAATTATCCTGCTGAAAAATACCTATAACTCCAATCTTTAAGGTGGTATTAGTTTATACTACAATGAACCCTAGGAAAGGCTGATGGCTTAGTTGTGCTGTCAATTCAAAGGCAGCCTGTTCAAATCCACCTGCTGCACTATGGGGAAAAAGATGGGTAATATCATTCTGTAGTATTCATAGCCTCTGAAAACTGCTGGAGTGTCAGCAGTTGGAGTTGGTACTGACATGACAGGACAAAACAGTAACAACAACAACAACAACAACTATCCACCTTATTGCCCATTTGCAATCACTTGTACATTTCAGTCTAATATACTGTTTACTTCCAAAAAGGATTTTGGGAGCACAAATTTTATGCCATTTTCCCTCTTAATTAAGATAACAAGACCTACCTTTGCCTTTAATTCAGCTTTTAAATTTTCTATATCCCTCTGCATATTTGCTACTTGATTTGTCTTTTCTGACAGATTCCTTCTTAGCGTACTAAGAGTATCTTTGTGCTCATTCAGCTGGATATACACAGTTTTTAGTTCCTCTTTTGCTTCCAGTCCCTTTATAATTGAAAAAAATTAAGAAAATTTAAACATTAACATCATCATAACAACCTCCACATTCTTTTTGTTATCCAAAACCTTGTCATGAGTTAAACTTACTTTAGCTACAAATTCACTAATATTTTCTTTGAGTTGGTTTCTCTCCAGTTCAAGAGATTCCTGCACACATTTCAGTTCATCTCTTTCCTTGGCTATAATTTTTATTTCTTCTTGACTTTTCTGAAATCTTTCAGCCAACTCAAACCTGTCCATTTCTACACTGTGTAGTGCTGACTCTTTGGCTTTGAGATGCTCCATGATTTGCTCCAGCTCACTCACTTTGTCCTGAGCCTCACTGATCTCTTGGACCTTAAAGTAATGTTTAAGTAACAAATTAATAGTCAGAAATACATACTTAAGGGTAAAACATCAAGATGCTTTAAAATTAGATCTCCCCACATTTCCACCAACTCTTCCTTTAGCCTCAATTTACCTTTTTTTTTAATTCACAACTGGCCATTTCTAATTCTCGTTGAATGTTTGACATTTCAGTTTCCTTCTCTGATACAGTCATTCTCAGCTTCTCAATAGTTTCCTTCTGTTCTTTCAGTTGTAAATGAGCAACTTTAAGATCTTCTTCCATTTTCTGACGCTTTATTGTTAGAGAATATGGAAAGAAAATTTTAGAGAAACATTATAAACATTACAATTAATTTTTTTCCAAAGGTTTAGTTCTGACAAAACCAATTGCTTACAAATTATTTTTGGGGAAAAAACCCCCCAAAAAACAAAAACCCACACCAAAAACCAAATACAAAACTCTCCAAAAAATGGAGGGAAAACAAAGAAAAAACCTACTGTACAGATGAGTTCTCCAAAGTTTTGTTTGAGTTGCTCATTTTCAGATTGGAGATCTTCTTGGAGCCTCTTTAGGTCATCTCTTTCTTTAGCTACAGACTTCATTTCTTCTTGACTTTGTTGAAGTTTCTCAAATAACTTAGAAATTTCCATTTCTGCCATCAGTAGTGTGGAATCTTTGGCTTTTAATTGCTCCTCCATTTGCTCCACCTCACTTATCATTTCTTTAGTTTCAATGTCTTTTTCAATCATATTGGATGACTGTTCTTTGTCTTGAGCCTCTTGGATCTTAAAAGGATCAGAAAACAGGATAGTGGATAAAGAAAAATATTATGCAGGGCTCAATAGATCATCTGCACAGCAATCCTTCTGTCTTACCAGTCATGTGCTATTTAGGCTTTAAATAGTTATTTACTGAAGGCTAGAAGCTTTAGCACAAAATGTCACATGAGATATGCACAGCTTATGTTTTTGAAACTCATAGGTTAGTGGTAAAGAGATATTTTGCATAAATCTTGGTAAATGCATTGAGTCTTCCATTGAAGACCCCCCGCCTCCTCATTGTAAGTAGAAATGACATTCTAGGATAGTAAGTTTCAGATGAGATCTGAAAGATGGGAGAGCATTAACTAATTTTTTTTTTTTAAAAAAAGAAGAGGAGGAAGAGGAAGAAGAAGAAGAAAAGAAAAAGATGTATAGAAGTACTCCAGGTAAGGATAGCACAACATCTGAAATCTATGAGGTAAAGAAGGGTGAGATTAACATCCCTGGAGCATGAGGGGAAAGAGAATGTAAGTCCAGAGACCAATAAGGGCCAAAGATCCAGGGCCTCATAGGCCATGTGTGAATTCTGCTCTTTACTCCAAAAGTAAACATGTACTATCAAAAGGATTTAAGAAGGAACTGACAAAGTAGATACGTTATAAAAACACCAATCAGGCTTAAATGGGGAACAAATTATAGAATTTTATGTAAGAGCAAAGGTGGGTAGACTGATTAGGAGGTTAGTGCAGAAAACGAGGGAAAGAAATTATGTGAGCATGGCTCAGAGTGATGGTAATGTGGACAAAAAAGTACATAAATAGCTTTAGATTATTACATACATAAAAATCAATAAGGCCTTGTGAGTGACTGAGGACTAAAATAAGAAAGTTAAGTCCCTTATCAGGTGGTAGCGGGAATAGATTCAAAGGAAAAAAACAGAGACTTCATTTTTGGCTTTATCCTTTCCTACAGTTTAGCAGAGTGTTTTTCTATACGATGGTTAGTATTTTAGAAAATAGCCAATTTCTTGGGATTTGTTTCTCTCCATTTCAAGAGTTTCTTAGTACTCATGGAGTAGAATTTGTTGTTGTTGTTATGTGCCGTCGAGTCGTTTCCGACTCATAGCGACCCTATGCACAACAGCCCTAAACCCTGCTCTATCCTGC